GAAATATTCCAACGCAACACTTCACAATAAGGCCCAATTCATTAATGCATCTGGTGTCATGAACTAACAATAAACATTTTTTTTACAGCATTTATAACCTACTGTAGGTTAATATTAATAAATATACTACTGTTTATTGTTGATTCATGCTTGTTCAAGCTGAAATTATAAAAATATTTAGTGTACTGTATATAGAGGTTTTTAATTAAGTTGTTAATACAGTAAAAGTAATGTTTATTGTTTGTGCTTGGTTAATAAATTAAATCTTAATGTAAGGTGTACCTATTCCAAGTAGAAAAATAAATAAATAAATAAATAAAAATAATAAAAAAATAAAATAAAATAAAATAAAGCTGGAAAACATTTACTATGCTAACAAGCAGACTTAAATAGAATTTTTATGTAATTCCACCCATCTTGTGCACCATTCCTAGCCGGCACGCTTTTCAGTCCAGCCCTTATAATTTAAGCCAGCAGCTGCCTCAGCAAGCAATCTCTCTCCCTCTCTGCTTCTCAAGTGTCCCGTTCTTTATGCAAAGCAATGTCATATGTCGCACTGTCAGTATCTCAGTCTAGCACCTCTTGTGTGTCTGAAGGGCCCTTGTATGTGCTGGCCTTGCCAATGCCCCTTGGCTCGAAAATCTCACCATCACAGAGTCACAGAGGCAGAGAAACTATTTTCAGGGAAGGTCCTTCTCTCCACAGGGACATATCATCAGAGCTGCTCTTTAGAATTGAGCAGTTTTGCTCACGTCAATAGCGAACTCGGTGCTGAAATATGAAAACACAACCTGGAATCATTAATTGAACACATAGACGCAAGCAAAAGGAACAAGTTGTTTTCTTGGCTCACAGTGATTTATAACAGCAAGTTTGTTAATGAGAAACGCATGAGCAATATTAACGCACAACTCTGGCTGAAGGATCATTAGAGTTAGAGTTGGGAAGTCCATATCCATCATTCACTGTCAGGGATCGGTGCGGTGATGCTTTCTGCCTGGCTTTACGCTGTATTAAGTATTTATGGAGGTGACAAGGGAACTGTGATGATTTATACAGAGAACAGATATTACTGGAAAGCACAGGGATTTTATAAACACAAAACTGCTAAGAAAAACATATGATATGTTGCCTACTGTACACTTAACTATCAGCAGTGACACATAGTAAGAGTAAACTGTACATGAAGGGAGCGGTATCTGGAAAAATGGATCCTGTGAACATAAAATCAATGGATTCCTAACAATATTCTTAAAAACATGGGAGATTTCCCACTGGACGCTGATCATGTCCAGACAAATTCTTCAGAAAAAGGCTATGCAGGTTGATTTTAGCGTTTCAAGTCCTCTTACAGGGGTCATATAATAAGGAATCAAATTCTCCTTGATCTTTTCAGATGAAAGAGCTTGATGTACTATGAAAACATACTGTAACGTTTAGAACTCAGGAAAGAGCAGGTATCAATTTCGCTCTGCCAATTTGTGACATCACACAGACAAATACAGTACACCAAAATATGAGGTGAGAAGGACAAAGTACAATAGATGCTATTATTCCTAAAAACCAGAAGAACTAAATGTGGGAAAGTCCTACGATCTCAGCAAAGTTGCACATTTCACATGTGAAAGGAGATGAAAAATTAATGATTAATTATTACTAATATTATTATTATATAACATAAAAGTGTGTATGCAGTTTTAGGTGAGCTGTCATACAGTATGTGCAGATGTCAGAGCATTACTCTCAGTAAGTGCACTTAGAACAACGTGTTATGCATCTGTCTCTTCATCTGTCCATCTAACTCTTTACCCTACCCTTCATATACACATTTCCACATCTACATTTCTGCTGATGTGTCTGTTCTACCCCTGACTGGACTCCCAGAATGCCTCTGCTCAACCCTTACCCACCCCGTGTGAATTCTAGCATTAGTGCAATCCATGTCACAGAAAAATTACAAAGATCTCTTTAATATCTTAATTGCTTCTTTTAGACAGCAATTATTTCATTGATTAAACTGAGAGCAAATAAAGACATTTGCATGTGTTTTCTCAAGAAACATTTCACCCCAAAATCTAAAGAAAATGTAAGAAATTGTATGAACACAATGGAACATATTTAAACATTAAAAATGGCATGACAATTAAGCAATCTAAAATCACCCTTCTCCAGCTCTCAGTAATTAATTAATTAATTAATTAATTATAATAATAATAATAATAATTATTATTATTATTATTATTATTATTATTAGTATTAGTCTGCTGTAGTATGAAATAAATAATAATATTATTTTCTTATGTACTTATGTTTTACTTATGTGCTTTTGGGGTAAAATCTGGGGTAAAGTATGTTTAATTGTATTGGAAATAATGTCATAAAGCAAATCTTAATAATCATAAAATAAGAATATTATTCATGCACTACCATTCAAAAGTTTAGAGTGGGCAAAGTTTTTCAGTGTTTTCAACTGTTTTTCAGTTGTTGTTTTTCTTTAAAATATATATTAAAATGTATTTTATTCCTGTGATAGCAAAGCTGAATTTTCAGCAGACATTAATACAGTCTTCAGTGTCACATGATTCTTCAGAAATCATTCTAATATGATAAACATAATCTGATGCTCCAAAAACAGTTGTACTGCTTAAATATAGAGAGAGAGAGTTTTTTTTGTGTGGAAACCGTATTTTTCCCCCAAGAATTGTGATGAATAAAAAGTTTTTTTTTTAAAACACCATTTATTTAAAATATAAATCTTTTGTAGCATTAAAAACGTCTTTACTGTCACTTTTGATTAATTTAATATATACTTGTTGAATAAAAGTATTAATTTCTTTTTTTTAAATTACCAGAAGTGCATTTTCGAACACTGATTTTGGGGTGAAATATTTCTGATATTCTTTATTAAATGCCTGTAATGGTGCACGTTGTCACGAATCCGGTCTATGAACTTCCGTTTGTTCACCACAAGAGGTCATTATCCACCACATGGACTCTCACACTACACAGACTTTCACACTCACCCTGGACTTCAGTTCCCACAATCCATTTCACTCTGATTACACACAGAGCAGCAGCCATTTCACTAATCACATGTTCACCTGAAACCAATCACACATAATTTAATTAATTAATTCATTACATTTATATAGCGCTTTTCTAGGCACTCAAAGCGCTTTACATTGTCAGGGGGTATCTCCTCATCCACCACCAGTGTGCAGCATCCACCTGGATGATGCGACGCGGCAACACATACTATATAACACCTACACAGATCCTGTTCAAACTGCCGAGTATTGTTTAAGCATTTATGCTGTTTAGCGTAGCTACTTTACGGAGCCAGTTCCCTGTCCTTGTTTAAGTATTTAGTTCTAGTTTCCATAGTCTAGTCAAAGTCTTGCCTTACCTGTTTTCTCGTGTTCTGATCTTCTGCCTGTGTATCTTGGATTAACCCTTTGCCTTGCTGTTTCGGACTGTGTTTGCACCTCGCCTGGACTATTGCTCTTGTTATTGGACTACCCCTCTTGTCAAGCCCTTTGGATTATGTTCGCCGTTGATCAACCGACGCCTGTTTATCGGATTACTCTTGAGTCTTGCCCTCAATATAACTGTTGCCATTGTCTGACCCCTTGCCTGTTTTGACCACGTCCTTAAATAAAGCTTGCGAATGGATCCGCATGTCTCACATCTTGTTTGCCCCGTTACACACGTGTTCTTGTGCCTGTGTGTACATGTATAACTTTACAAATGTACAGCAACGCCGGTATAGTTTTTTTGTGTGTAAATAGGCAGTTATAATCCATCATTACAGGGGTCATTAACAGCAGCACTCCCTCCCCACGAGCAGGGTTCACAGCAGTAGCTCTCACTATCAGAGGGTTGCCATGGCAGCTGCTCCCCTGCAATTTACTCTGCCAGACCTTTGTTCAGCATCTCTGCAATCTTTCCTTTTACATTTTTTGTGCTGACATGAGAGAAGCGCCTCCTCGTTTTCTTCCTCGTACACCCCTGAGGCCTCAAAAATACCCAGACAGAAAAGCTCTGGCCTAACTTACTTCCTCATGCCACAGTCGCCTATAATTTCTGGTCCCCAAAAACAAGATTAAACTGCTTTGGAGATATAAGTGCAAGTGTATGACACACCATGACCTTTAAAATGGCAACACACTGTTATTAACCCTAGTCTATCATTGCAATGGGAAAAACCAGACATAATTGTTCACTCTTGGCTAATTATGTCTTTCCTTTCACTTTACATTAATAGCTGTCATGCACCATGGAATGCAGGGAGCTTGTGTTATGCTTTATGAAATATTAAGATAAACCGTCTGCAGATAATATGTAGTCTGGCTGCTCTGAACTACAGTATCTATTATATCTCTTGTAACATTTCAAATCATGTAGAGCCTCCAGCAATAGAAACTTTATGAGTTTGCAACCATATTACACAAAAAACCTTTGACCTCTACTTTCAGCCTCAGACAGGTCACCCAGTGGACACACTGTCTGATCTGTGCATATTGCACAAAAAATGTCAACTGCTGGCTGAAATCACCAGTTTCAATCTGATTATCCACTCAAAGAGACTCACATGCCATTATATTTTTTCTCCATGCAAGTCTATTATTATAGTTTAATTTATTATAAGTAACACGGCCCTAAAACAGCACATAAAAACAGGCCACATACACACAGATATATGCATACATTCACAGTCTTACAGCCTCTTCCTGTCTTAGTGGGCAATTCTTGGCCAGAAAAAAATAGCAATATGGACCAGACACTACACCGCAAGTCACACGTCTGCCTAGACAAGACAATTTGACTTATATCATATGACAACTTGGAAAGGAAATCCTTAACAACTTTCATCACTTCATTTGCAGTGTAAAAAATCTGAAGTCAAAAGCTAATCATCTAGCACTGATTGATGTCATCAGTCATACAAGTCCCAGAAATTCCTGTGGACAGAAGCTCAAATGAAATGCACTGGTTCTCACCAGCAGTCACAGCGTGTCCAGAGGTGAGGTCTCCGTTGAAGCCGTTCTCTTTGGCGTAGGAAGTGGCAGAACCAGCATGGGCACCGCCAGGCTGGCAAGTCCTGTAGGTAGAAGAGAAGCCGTTCTCTCCATGCCCACCTGGGGAGGATGAGCCCTGGGCTCCTGGAGATGACCACTGGGGGCCACTGTCCTCAGGCTGCCGACCGTCTGCCATCTGAATCAGGGGGTCACTCCTTACTCCTGAAAGATCAGAAAAATGCTTAATGTTAATACACTGACTGAACAGCTTTTAGGAAGACTGCCATTCAATGAATGAAGGTATATTCAGAAATATAAGACTACTAACTAAATATTGCATAGTATATACAGCATATATCAGAATGCAGTGTACATAATATATTAACAATAAAGATTGACAATATTATAGTACATTATGACCATATTGCATGTTAAATTCAGATCATTTATTATTTAGCATCTCATATATAGTAATATTTTTTAAAAAGATGAATATTTTATTCAAAGAAAGCATTAAATGTATCAAAATTGACAGTATATTTATAAAAAATGTAATGTAATAAAATGTTTTGATTATATATTATATTTAGCGATTTTTTTTCAACATTATTAATAACAAGTGTTTCTTAAGCACCAAAACAACATATTAGAATGATTTCTGTGACACTGCAGACTGGAGCAATGGCTGCTAAAAATGCAGCTTTGCCACAGGAATTAATTACATTTTAGAATATATTAAGATTGTCACAAGACTGCAAGGGAGGCGAAGGTTAGTATCCAAATGCAAAAGTTTAATGATGTAAAAGTTGTAATCCACAATCGTAGTCAGACAGGCATGAGGTCATACACAAAATCAGTCCAAACACTGGCATAGTAAGGAGCTCAGGAAAACAGAGCAATCCTGGCTATCAGGCTAAAAGCCCGTCCACATGGAGACGTGTTTAGCTGTATGCGTAAAAATTTTGTATCGTATCGGCGTTTCATCCAGACGGATCCAGCATTTGGGAGCCTGAAACCGCTATTTTTTTAAACCGGGTCCCAGAGTGAATAAATCTGAAAACGACACCCTTGTATTTTCGTGTGTACAGCCAATCCATATATTTTGTGAAACGATGTCATCACCCCATGTCTCGACCCTAGTCAGACACTGCTACGTCACGTAATAGCAACAACAACAACAATGGCGGACTACATGCTTGTGTTTGTGCTGCAGAAGCTACTGAGCCTATTAGCTTTACTAAAGAAAAATCTAAAATTACTAAAGCAAAAATGTTTGTACACAGCGCGCAAGGTTTATGCGCATGCTCCAAGTCTTCTTCTCCGTTTTTAGTGTATCTCTGTGGCAGAATTACAGCGACACAAACTGGTCTGGCATGTATACTACATTGTTTGGAGTTGGTTTCAGTGATTTCGTGTGTACACGAATGTGACGAGTGGGGCGGGGCCGAGAGCAGTGGGAACGGAGCAAGGCCGGTGGAGTGAATGATAATGAGTGACACCTGCGACACTCACCGGTCTCGAGTCCCATGGAGGAGCTCCGGAAGGATAAAAGGAGGAGTGACAACAGTGCAAGACGAGAGAGAACCAGGCCTGGATTTTATGTTGTCTTGTTTCTGTTTTCTGTTAAAATCTATTTTAAGATTTGTGTTTATTTTGTTATTAAAATTATGTTTAAATGTTCACCGGTTTCCGCCTCCTTCTTCCCGGGTTTCGGCACCAATGTAACACAGTTCGTAGATCGGGAAGAAGGAGGCGGGAACCGGCGAACATTCAGACGTAACTTTAATAATAAAATAAACACAAAACTTAAAATAGCGCGACAGCCCCTCACGGACCACTCTGCCCTGGTCTCCTGTCACGGGGCCGAGAGCCATGGAAACGGAGCGAGGCCGGTGGAGTGAATGATAATGAGCGACACCTGCGCCACTCACCGGTCTCGAGTTCCACAGCTCTCGGCCCCGCCCTACTCGTCCCAACAAATATTTCTTGAGACGACGCCATGTTTACAGATTTTTTTTTAGAACGAAGAAAAAAAAAGATTGGATAGGGAAAGCTCTGGCTTCGTGTGGATGTGGCCTTAAAAACAAGAGCATGAAACAAGACTCAATATAGCAGTGTGACACTGTTAAGACTTCACAATCAATAGCAGAAACAAACACGCTTAAATAGGTAACAAGATAATTAGGAACAGGTGTGTTCAATCAGGCATAAGTCCAGGCAGTGGCTTGCGGCAAATGAAGTCTGTGACACAATGACAATGACGTAGAATGGAGTGCCTTCTGACAATCATTACATAACCCACCTAACGAGCAGCTTCCAGATGCTCCTAAATATAAAACTCCAACACCAGGAAGGCGGTGGAGTGGAGGCGGAACAGGGGGAAGGATGGCGGGCCAGACCCATGAACGAGGAACAAGCAAGGCTGGAGTCGGCAAAACAGGAGAGCAGGGTAGATCCGGCGACCAACATGGCAGAGCAGATGAGACCATAAATTCCCACGGCGCAACAGACAACCACCGCTACAGAGCAGATGAGACCAGATCCCCACTGCGGAGCAGACGACCACCGCTGCAGAACCGACGAGACCACCGATCCTCACAGCAGAGCAGATGACCACTATAATTGAACAGACGGGGACGAAGATTCCCACAGCAGAGCAGATGACCAACACAGCAGTTCAGACAGGACCGAAGACCCCCAGGGTGGAGTCGAAGACCACCAAGGCAGATCTGACAAAATTGGAGACCACCACGGCTGATCAGGGAAAACTGAAACACACAGCACAAAGAGGTTATCGTTGGCCTCAAGGGCCGTATCAGGACAGGCTGACAGTTCAGAGATGACCTCCGTGGTCACACAGCCATATCACCCTGCAGCCCAAGACTGGTTGCCCACTGAAGCTAAGCAGGGTTGAGCCTGGTCAGTACCTGGATGGAAGACCTCCTGGCAAAACTAGGTTGCAGTTGGAAGAGGTGTTAGTGAGGCCAGCAGAGGGTGCTGACCCTGTGGTCTGTGTGGGTCCTAATGCCCCAGTATAGTGACAGGGACACTATACTGTAAAAAGCACCGTCCTTCGGATGAGACGTTAAACCAAGGTCCTGACTCTCTGTGGTCTTTTTAAAAAATCCCATGGCACTTCTCGTAAAAGAGTAGGGGTGTAACCCCGGTGTCCTGGCTAAATTCCCTCCACTGGCCCTTATCAATCATGATCTCCTAATAATCCCCATCCATTGAATTGGCTCTATCTTTCGCTCTCCTCTCCACCTGTAGCTGGTGTGTGGTGAGCGCACTGGCACCGTTGTCCTGTGGCTGCCGTCGCATCATCCAGGTGGATGCTGCACACTGGTGGTGGTTGAGGAGAGACCCCCCATATGATTGTAAAGCGCTTTGGGTGTATAAAAAATACACATTAAAGCGCTATATAAATGCATCATTCATTCATTCATTCAGTCACTACGTGGCAGGCAGAGAGTTCAACGATAGCATCTTTGGCCATAACAAAGCAGACTGAGGGTTCAGAGACAGCCTCCTTGGCAGCAAGGGATTCAGGGATGAACTCTTTGACCACAACAGGATAGGCTGAGAGCTCAGAGACGAGACTTCCCTGGACATTACTGGACAGGTGAAGAATTCAGAAACAGCCTCCTTGGCCATGACAGGACAGGCAAGGGATTCAGGAACGGCCTCCTTGACCGTGAAAGGACAAACTAAGATCTCGGAGACAGCCTCCATGGCTGGGACAGGACAGGCAAAGGGTTCAGGGACGGCCTACTTGGCCGTGACAAGGTAGACTGTGAGTTTAAAGACAGCCTCTTTGGCCATGACAGGGCAAGCAGAGAGTTCAGGAATGGCCTTCTTGGCCTCGACAGGACAGGCGAAGAGCTCAGAGACGGCCTCCTTGGCCGTGACAGGACAGGCAGGCAACTCACAGGCTGGTGCCAACACAGGACTGAGCGTTGGGGCTTGAGTGGACTCTGGCGCAGATTCACGGACTTGAGCAGGCTCTGGAGTGGATTCATGGACTGGAGCAGGCTCTGGATTGGACTTATGGACTGAAGCGGGCTCTGGAGCGGATTACTAGCTTCCATTGCCTTACTAGCTTCAACTGCAACGTTCATGATGTCCAGGAACATTGACGTGGTGTCCATGACGGCTAGAGATTCTGGCATGGCGGCCATGACGGCTGGATTCTCTGGCGTGGCTGCCATCTTGTGAAAAGGCTCTAGGCTGGTGGCCATCTTGTGGAGAGGTTCTGAACTGGTGGCCATGTTGTGAAGAGGCTGTGGCTTGGTAGGCATGAGGTGAGCAGGCTCTGGCTTGGCAGACTTGACTTGAACAGTCTCTGACTTAGCAGACTTGAACTGGTTGTGGCTTGACATTGAACAGACTCTGGCTTGGCAGACTTGAAAGCAGTAACATGGTGTGGATCTGGTGTGGTGGCTACTGAGGGAATGCTGCTCTTCCGCGTCTCCCACAGTAAGAGCAGATCCACTCAGTAGTAAAGCCAAATCTATATACTGCTCTAATGACCAACCAGACTCAGCAACTGGCATGAGGGAACAAATCGGCTCAGAAAGCCACCCTCAGAAAAATATCATAAGACATACCTCATCATAAGGTGTTAGATGTGCCAGTTCAAGAAAGTCCCCCGTGTAGCTCTCAATCGAGCAATTTCCTTGGTGGAGATGTATTAACTTAACTCCTGGATCCATAAAGTGGTGAAGTCTTCTGTCATGAGACTGCAAGGAAGCTGAATGTTGGGATCCAAATGCAGAAGTTTAATGGTGTAAAAGGAGTCCATGACACAATGATAATGACGTAGAATGGAGTGCCCTCTGGTGGACAACCAGAGCACTCCATCTGACCATCTTACAAAAATAGAAAACAGCTAATTTAAACTGTAATAATATTTCACAATATTAAATATTTTACAGTATTTTGATCTAATAAATGCAGCCTTAGGTAGCATAAGAGATTTTTACAAATAAATAATAAGAAATAAAACTTACCAACCCCAAACTTTTGAACAGTATATTTAATTATTAACATAATTAAATATAGTATATAGTATATTAATTGTATTCATTATTTTTATTTCTATGCATTATTTAAATTATTTTAAAATTATTCATTATTTTAATTATTTTTAAAAATTGTCCTGTCAAATTTTGAGAAAAATTATGGGAAAATAAAGAGATGTTATTATTAATTTTCCTTATAAA